GTTTGCATTTAATTCAAGGATAAAAAAAACAAGGATTTGATGGATAGAGAGCGAGAGAGAGGGGTGAGACTGGAAGGAGGAGAAAAGAAGGAGGAGATAGTGACAGCATGTTTGGGGAGAAGGAAGAGGAGGAGGGAGAGAGGGATGATGGGAGAAGAGAAGGAGGAGAGGAGGAGGAGAGGAGGAGGAGGGCGTGGGTGATAAATTGCTTTGAACTTTAATGGACGTCTCAGATGCTCCTCTGGTGATGTGTTCGGACAATACACAACATTACTGGCACACGTGAGGGCTGATTGTAGCTGACAGCCAAAGAGGCCTGTCCCCGTCGACCTACAACACACTCATACACACACACACACACACATGCATGCAAAAACGCACACACATTTGCTGGCGTGCGCACATGCAGCGCCACAGCTTTCCAAAAGTCAGCTAAAGGAAGGAGGCAGGGAGGCAACTTCTTCTTAGCAGGAAGTGAGAGAGAGAGAGAGAGGAGGGGGTGAATAGATGAACTGTGAGTGAAGGAGGAGATGTGCAAGGGGAGAGGTGGAGAAGGAGGAGAGGGTGAGGAGGTATGAAGTACAGAGGGAGAGAGGGAGGAGAAAGTGGAGGGGAGGAAGAGGAGTCGCTGCCATATGGTCAGGGTTGGGTTCAGACAAATAAAATGTTGCCTTCCCTCCACAATGGTTAACTACACACAAATGAATCACTAATGGAGCTCTCATTCACTGTGACCCACATGCACACACATTCATGCGTGCGCGCACACACACACACACATCCACAATGGCCGACATGTGAATGAAAGTGGGAGACATTCACACAGAAGGAGCAATAAATGTTGACAGAGGTGGGCGGGCAGGCGGGGAAGGACGGATGGAGGGGTTGTTTGTGAGGTTGGAGTTAGATGTGTGTGTGTGTTTGTGTGTGTGTGCAGCAGTGTATCGTTGGAGACGCCCCTCTTCCCTTCCACTCGGCTGCCTCTGTGTGAGTCTGTTGATGTGTGAGTGTAGGGCTGTCTTTGTGCGACTTGAATGGGGGGTTTGTCCCTCAATCTGTGCCCCTCTACTTTGCCAGATTTCTAATGATTTTCCAATGATGATTCAGTGTGTGTGTGTGTGTGTGTGCGTGCGTGCGTGTGTGTCTGCATGCATGTGTGAGTCCAAGCATTTACTCAACCCCTCTTCCTCTCTATTCTCTGCTGAGCTTTTCTTCAATGTGCTGCCTTTGTTTTTCTTCTGTTTCTCCCCACAACACCGTCTGATCATTATCTATCTATCTATCTATCTATCTATCTATCTATCTATCTATCTATCTATCTATCTATCTATCTATCTATCTATCTATCTATCTATCTATCTATCTATCTGAATCAAATTTGAAACTCTGAAGCTCATTTTCACTTGAATTTGTGTTTTCATCACTCTGTGTTCTCGCTCATCATTTCCCAAAGTTTACCCTAAGATTTCAGATTAATTTCCTTCCTTCCCCACACAGCTGTTGTTTTTCATTCATTTTAAATAGAATCCAGCTTGCACAGGCTTACCAGCTTGAAACAGGTAAGTAATTACAGAGAACATTTTGTCAGCCGTATTTCTCAGGTAATTTCAAACTTTCTTTGGTGCTCCTTTCAAGGTTACTCAAGCAGCCAAATGTGAGTTTTGGCAGCAGAAAAAAAAACACTTCTTAATGTTGCAAGAGCATCAAACTTACAGACATCAAGCCTCCTTTGAGGATGCAAAGAAGATGAATTGTATGAGAACAGTTTGACTTAAAGTGGTGACAAAAAGTGTCCATGAAAGTCCTAAAGTTTGATCATGTTGCTCTTGACTACTTCAGGATTCTCCAGATAGACCACATTGCATTTCATCGAAGTACGCGGTCATCAGAGGACGGCGCCCTGTGTCACTGATCACCCTCTGAGGTTTTTGGGACCACTAAAGCCTACTTTTATTTAAACAGCTCAACATTTCAGGGTGCGACTTTGGCCCTGTGACTAGGGGCCTTTCTCACCCAAAGTCCGCTTAGAAGGTTCCGGATCAGGGACCAAATGATTACATTGTTGCATTTTGCACTCAGTCCAGTTAGCGTTCACACGGGACTATTGCTAAGCAAACCAGATGGTTAAAAAAAGAGGGAAATCACAGGGTCACCTGCTCATTTGGGGCACAATCTTCATTGTCCCACAACACACAGAAAGTAGCCGACCAGAGAGAACGATGGGCGTCTTGCTTCACGCAATTGACCGTAGGTGGTGGAGATGTTGTGTGAGGAGACGCTAGGCATTAATGCAAAGGAATGACTATAACACATTGTCAGCGTGTTTGTTGAACAGAAGAACACTCAGGTATGTAATATTTATCATCTGACGATTGTATTCGAACACAAACCCTCTGCCATTCGTCTAGTTTTACGGACAGTCCAATGTTTTGACCAGCTGTTCTCCGTCTGCTGCAACCTCCAGCCGGGCATTATTTCCCGGCTTTATTGCAGTGTAAATGTGTTATTGGTTTATATTGACATATAAAAAGTCCAGCTGCATCAGCGCTGTGTTCACACCCGCCACGGACTGAACCATGGTTTGTTTGAAAGGGGACCAAGTTCGACATATTCAAGAGGACCATGGTCCATTTGTTTCATACCACCCAGACCGAAGGAGTAAGGGGACCATGGTCCTTTTAGAACGAACCAAACAGTCCTAGTATGAATACGCCCTAAACGGTGTGCCCAACGTATAGATAACATTGTCCCAGATCCATCACTGTATGTTATACCCCACTCTATATCCACTGTCCTACTCTCTAAGTTAAGGCAAATAACCCCCAAAACTACACTAAACAAAATACATTCTGTAGATCTCAACATCTCAAGGACATATAAGCACTGAATTTTACATTCAGACATTCATGGTTCCCAAAGGAGTTTCCTTTGGTATGACCTTTGACCTTTTTGGAACAACATGTAAACAAACTGTGTGAGTAAAACAATCCATCGATTGCATCAGTCTGACTGCAACTGGACGTTTGAAATACATGTAAACAAGTTATTCTGACATAAATCACTGTAAATCAAACCACGCATGGACTAATGAACAGACCTGGATAATGCAGTTGAGGTTCGATTTTCTCCCCCATGTTTACCGCTGACTCAGACTGAAACTGGTTCAAACGTTCTCCACATGCTCCACAGTTAACTGGCCAGGCTTTGGCCTGGAGGTCAGATAGATGCTTTGCAAGGGAGCCAGGTAGAAAAATAAAACCTTTACAGAAGAAAGGAGGTCAAAACAGATGAAACGGTCACATCTTACAAACAAAAAGGTACAACACTGTAAAAATGATGCCGTTTTTATCCTTCAACACACAGCCTGTCAGGCACGTACTCACCCATTTTGTAGATTGTTTTGGTGCACAATAGGTCAACTGGGAGATGACGCAGGTAGTAACAAACTGCAAAGGGGAATGTGCTCACGTATTTTAGCAGTTGCAGACATGCTTCTGTCAATAGTTTGATCCTTGCCCAGGGCTTGTAGATCAGAACAAGGCCAGCAAGCTGGTCAAATAGGATAACTGAATTATAACAGCAGTACGAGTCAGCTCTGCATGCAAACGTACTGAGTGTAGTTGATCTGAGCAGCAACTTTGGGTGTTGTTGGGATTTTCATTAACAAAGCTGCTGTTTCACTGCCCCTTACAGAATGAGTAGATTTGGATACTTTCATAGCATTTAGTTAAAAGGACGTCTGTGCTTCAGCAGCCAACAGTGTTAGGTTGGGCGGTCACAATACACCCTAGTGATGGTAACCATCTTTTCATAAATTTAAAATGCTGCTATCATGCTAAACATTTGTATGCATAGGTACTACTGTGGGTTTAAAGTAGTGGTCCCTATGCTGGGTCACACCGAGAGAAAGTAGCAGACCTGTAGCATCCATTATTCAATGGTTAAAAACTGTTCTAACTCTGAATAGCTGATTTGCTGGAATATTTAATAATAAAGACCAGCGTATCCAATAGAACAGCTGCACAAAAATTTGCTAGCCACCAATTTTGTAGTCTGATGTTGCCGCCCCCTGTCAGTCAGCTCATGTTCATTTTTAAAGTCAGATAGATCATGGACTTTTTTTACCAAGTTTTCGCTTCAGCGTCAGATAAACCCAACCAATCACAGTCCTTTATTTAGAAATGGGGCGGGTTTTACAAGATGACAACACAGGAGCAATGCTTCAGAATATTTGTAACAACTAAGACGGCAGCTTCTGCAGCTGAAGGTCTGTTGAATCCACTGTTCAGGCACTTTCATGGGCAACTTTCACTTCTCAGAGAAACTGAAGGAATAACACAGTTCGGACGTCATTCATAAATGCCCAAAGTTGTTTCTGCTGATAATAGCACCCCGCTCCCTTATATTGTGCTACTTGTAAGTGACTCCCCCATATGTTTGTAGAGAGCCCTGCATTATGTTGAATCTGGTAAAGTTGTTTTTCTTTTTAGACTGGACATGCTGGATAACAAAAAGTCTGAAAACATGCAACTTGATCTGTGGTAGCAATGAAAGAATTTTGTTTTTGTTTGTTTCTTTCTTTTTAGAATAAGACATGTAAACCAGCTTGCTACTGAATTCATGAACTACACTATGTCTGCATTCTCTATAAATGGGTCAAAACTTGGAGGGTTTCTAACAGCAGATTTACCAAAATGGGGACCCAGCAGGACACAAGACTTGATGGCGGTTGCAGACCGGCCCTGAAGCCTGAGCCACAGGAGAAGATTTGGTTTCATGTGAATGGAGAATGAAAAACATGTATCAGTCTGAACAGGAGGCTTAATATTTCATAGCAAGACAATAGGGATATATTTGTGTTAATGTTTCATAAGCGCACATTTATCAAGGCGTGAAGGCCCCCATGTGTGTTTGTGTGGCTTGTACACATAGGTGTGTGTGTGTGTGTGTGTATGTGTGTGTGTGTGTGTGTACCCGCCCCAGTTTTAATGTTTAATGGTGGTTGGAGGTTTGAGGAAGGAGTTGTTGTGCGGTTGTTTATGCCTCGGCGCATCCTCTTTGGGACTTTATTCACAGGAGGATGACCTGTGAGCTCCAGCGTGTGGCAGCATCTGCGTTTGTGTTATAATATGTGTGTGTTTGTGTTTGTGTGTGTGTGTGTGTGTGTGTGTGCGTCTGGGTGGGGCTTTAGTTGGGGGGACCGAGGGAGCCATAAAATTTTCAGCTCCTCCGGCTGTATTGTTGCGGGGATAACAAATGTTTCCATTTAGTGATCATGCATGAGTTATAACTCACAGGACATAGCCTGTGCTGTGTGAGTGTGTGTGGATTTGTGTGGCCTCACGCTTTCACAGCCTCTGTTCGGACAGCGCTGGGTATGAAATGAACAGAGCGGAGTGGGAGCATTGTGTAGTCCCTGCACAAAGATCCCTGCATGCTGTGATGAGGTTTTTTATGCCTCAGGTGAGCACAAAGACACTTTTCTGCCAGCCGTATCAGAGAGCTCTGTCTGATTCTTCACACACAGATGGACACACACAGATAAAACCAGACACACACACATACACACACGCAGCTCTATTATGCAGGAGACCTCTCCATCCAATTGATCACAGGCATGAATTTCAGAACAAAAGGGAAATATTCCACCTCAAAGAGCAGCCAGTTTCTAACAGAATGTGTAAACGTGGCGCACTGTCCTCCCCGTACTCTTCTGAAGCCTTTGTAACACTGAATGAGTAATAAAGACAGGGGGAGACAATGTGTGTGTGTGAGTGTGGGTATGTGTGTGTATGTGTGTGTGTGTGTGTGTGTGTGTGTGTGTGTGCTCATCCACGAGGGTAAGCTGCTGAACACTTCAAACCAAGGGCCTAATCAGCACCCCATAGCCCACCCACACAACCTCTCTGCTCATCTTACTTTCATTCCCTCGCCCCCTCCCACGGACTTCTCTGCATTCCGCCACTTTCCTCTCCTTTCAGCTCTCTTTTCTCCTCTTCCTGCTCCTCCCTCGAGGTGGGAGCAGCAGTAGCAGTAGCAGCAGCGGAGGTGGGATGGGTGGAGTTGGTGGGGGTGTATTTGGGGGACCCCTGGGAGTGTTGGGGACAGCACTGGAGGTCAGCTGAGTGCTCCCCTGTCCCACCGCTGATGTCGGAGGGTGAGGACGAGCCGGCTGATCCGGGGATCTGCGTCCCCGGGGAGCAGGCGGTGACAAGGCCGCTGGCGAATGCTATGACGCTGCTGAAATATTAAAGCTAATGGGATGGCGGTGCTGCGTGTCGACACATGAGTGTGTGTGTTTGTGAGTGTGTGTGTGTGTGTGTGTGTGTCAGAGCGAGTGTGTGTTGCAGCTACTTGAAGTGAAGTGGAGTGAGCAAAGTGGAATAGAGATGGATAATGCATCACACTCTAAACAACGGCGCAGCAGAGTGAGCAGAGTTTGGGGTGAAAAAGAACAAAAACCTGTGAGTATGCGAGGAAATGATGGAGGAGAGAAGATAGGGAGTGAGGAAGGAAACAAAGTAGGATCGGAAAGTGAAATGGGAAGTGATGGGAGGAGAATGGACGAAAGACAAAAATAAAAACTGACAGGAAGGGAAGAGGAGAAAGGACAGAAATGGAAGTAAAGTTAGGAGGTGAGATAGGAAAGAAACAAAAGAAAGGAGAGGTGTGTGGAGAAAGGAAAGATGAGAGGACAAGAAAAGACACAAAATGAGTGATAAGAAGAAAAAAGACAGGACAGATTCAAGACAGAAGAAGAGGAAGAAGACGAGGAAAGATGACAGGCAACGTAGAGAAAGGGAGAGGACGAGAGAGAACGAAAGAAGAGTAGCAGTGATTGGAAACAAGAAAAAAGGAAAGGGAGGAGGGGGAGATGGGGGATAGGAAATGAGGAAAGGTGAAGAAATAAAATATGAGGAGAGAAAATGCAAAAGAAGGAAGAGGAGATGGGGAAGAGTAGAGGAAACGAAATACAAGGAAGGGATGAGAGGAGAGAGAAGAGGAGGAATGAAGATGGAGAGCTCACTAACATGATCATGCTTTGTTTTTGTAAAGTTACGTTTGTGAAGATACCATAAAACTGAATTGTTATGATACATGATTTAAAAATGTGTGACTCACAGAACAAACCAAGTTCTTGTACAGTCTGAAAATACTTAAGGTTGTTTAGACTTAATTAAGGGTCAGGATGAGAGGATCGAGGTATGGGGTAAAATTGGGGTCGGGGGAGAAAGGGATGAAGAAGGTTGAGGTAGCTGAATCATGGGGAGTGGGGGTGTTGAGACTCTGAGTGGGGACAAGTCTTGACTCGCCTCTGGTTTCATTTCCCCAAGAGAAGTTTATTTTACTAAACAGATATGGGTTCTTTTGGTGTTGCTGAGGTGGCTGCAGATATAACCCTGGAAAGCTTGGGAAGACCAACGGCAGAGAGATTTAATTGTGTGGTCAGGGATTCTTTGTCTAGTAGCAGTTTTAGCAGCTCCTAAATGGAGGTGGAGGTAGAACCAGAACCATGTCGCTACTGTACCTGTTTTCAGAAGTGAAGAGAGGATCATGTGAGGATGATTGGCAATGTAGTCTGCGGTTTAAGTGTGTGACGAAGGGGCTTAGAAAAGGGTTTAGCTATGGGCTGATCTGTTTTGCTACATTGGAGGTGAAATCTGATGGTGTTGGGGGAGTGGATGAAACTGTCTGAGAGACTGGCGTGCTGAAAAGGGTCATAGATGAAAATGTCGAGGTGAATTCTGAACGTCCCACAAAACCAAAAAAGGCTAACAGAAACATGGCTTCAAGTGTTGACTCCATGGAGGGGGGATATACACACACCGGCCACTTTATTAGGTACACCATGCTAGTAACGGGTTGGACCCCCTTTTGCCTTCAGAACTGCCTCAATTCTTCGTGGCATAGATTCAACAAGGTGCTGGAAGCATTCCTCAGAGAGCTTGGTCCATATTGACATGATGGCATCACACAGTTGCCGCAGATTTGTCGGCTGCACATCCATGATGCGAATCTCCCGTTCCACCACATCCCAAAGATGCTCTATTGGATTGAGATCTGGTGACTGTGGAGGCCATTTGAGTACAGTGAACTCATTGTCATGTTCAAGAAACCAGTCTGAGATGATTCCAGCTTTATGACATGGCGCCTTATCCTGCTGAAAGTAGCCATCAGAAGTTGGGTACATTGTGGTCATAAAGGGATGGACATGGTCAGCAACAATACTCAGGTAGGCTGTGGCGTTGCAACGATGCTCAATTGGTACCAAGGGGCCCAAAGAGTGCCAAGAAAATATTCCCCACACCATGACACCACCACCACCAGCCTGAACCGTTGATACAAGGCAGGATGGATCCATGCTTTCATGTTGTTGACGCCAAATTCTGACCCTACCATCCGAATGTCGCAGCAGAAATCGAGACTCATCAGACCAGGCAACGTTTTTCCAATCTTCTATTGTCCAATTTCGATGAGCTTGTGCAAATTGTAGCCTCAGTTTCCTGTTCTTAGCTGAAAGGAGTGGCACCCGGCGTGGTCTTCTGCTGCTGTAGCCCATCTGCCTCAAAGTTCGACGTACTGTGTGTTCAGAGATGCTCTTCTGCCTACCTTGGTTGTAACGGGTGGTTATTTGAGTCACTGTTGCCTTTCTATCAGCTCGAACCAGTCTGGTCATTCTCCTCTGACCTCTGGCATCAACAAGGCATTTCCGCCCACAGAACTGCCGCTCACTGGATATTTTTTCTTTTTCGGACCATTCTCTGTAAACCCTAGAGATGGTTGTGCGTGAAAATCCCAGTAGATCAGCAGTTTCTGAAATAGTCAGACCAGCCCTTCTGGCACCAACAACCATGCCACGTTCAAAGTCACTCAAATCACCTTTCTTCCCCATACTGATGCTCGGTTTGAACTGCAGGAGATTGTCTTGACCATGTCTACATGCCTAAATGCACTAAGTTGCCGCCATGTGATTGGCTGATTAGAAATTAAGTGTTAACGAGCAGTTGGACAGGTGTACCTAATAAAGTGGCCGGTGAGTGTATATCCTGTGTGAATAGTTTGGATGCAACGGGTTAGGAGGTCTGCTGTCAGGGGTAAGCGTCTAGGAGGCCTTTTAGCAAGAAGATGACCTGATAACTGAGCGTATTTGGATTTCCTGCCTTGTGTGACAACACACTGCTCGTCATTCACAGCTTTATATGATTTTCACTGGGGTAGGATTTCTCTCATAATGACATTGATCTCACCTTAAATTATTTCTAAAATATTGTTATTGTAAACAGGTATGCTTCACTCTGTCAATATAGAGTTAAATGCTGTGACAATCCATGGTTCTCTAATGGGTTATCAGAATTATTACAGAATTATTTTTCTAAGGGCACTTTGGAGGTGGGCTACTGTTCAATTTGAGAGAGATGTATGGTGAGGACCTAGATCCGGTGTATGAATAGCTGCTGGTCATCGACCCGAGCAGTGTCGGGTGCTGGGTGGGTTGGATGTGCGGCGTCTGGGAGATTGGTACAATGGATAGGGCTTTAGGCCCTTTGAGGAGGTGGTGACTTGTCAGAGCACGATGGAGAGTAGTGGACGATGTTGCACTGGGGTATAACAGAGCAGATATGTCGAAGCTAATTGTTTGGCAGTGGCGGAGTAGGAGCCACAACAAGTGGAGAAGTACTGTTAGACTGAGGATGAGCTTGCAACTGAAGGATGAACTGAAGGACCGCTGTTTTAAAGTTGGACTGAGTTGCTACAAATGATCGTGAGAACTGAGACAAACAAAAGATGATGGGTTAGGCAGGTTTATATAGACATCAGGTGATTGCAGGTGGAGGAGATAATAAGCTGCAGGTGGTAAAATAAGTTACCTGAGTGTGGTCATGTTCCTTAACTTATCTTACATTAACTATATGATGAGAGCAAAGAGAGAAGAAGGAGAGGAGGCAGGAAGGGAGGAAAGTAAATGAGGAGGAAAAGAAGAGAGGCAGGGTAAAAAAGAGAGATGGGAAGAAAAGGAAGAACAAAGAAAAGGTGAAAAGGGAGAAAGATATTACTGAGGAGTTCATATGGGAGATGAGAAGACAGTAGAGATGAAAAAAGAGGAGGAAGAAAATGAGATGACAGGAAAATGAGGAGGGATCAAGGAAAATAAATAAATGATTGAGAGATAAGAGGAGAGAAAAGAGAAAGGAGTGGAGGTAAGAAGCAAGAGAAGGAAAGAGAGGTGAGAGAAGAAGAGAAGTATAAAAAAGGAATAGAAAGATGAGGTTTATGGTAAAGATTAAAGGGGAGAGGACATAATGAGAGGAGAATGAAAGATTAAGAGATAGGAGTAAGAAGATAGGAAGGACGGGGAAGCAGAGGAGTTGAGAAAGACAAGACGGGGGATCAAAAAGAGGTGAAGGGAAGGTGGACAATTGATAGAGATGAGAGGGAATAAATGGACAGAAAACAAGAGAGTAAGGAAGAGGACACGGAAAAAAAGGTAGGAAGAGAGGTGAGGAGAAATAAAGACAGGAAAAGGGGTAGAAAAGACAGAAATGTGTGAAGAATGGATAAGAGGAGATACGGGTAAAAGATGGGAGATGAGGAGAGGGAGGTTGGAGGGAAGGAAGGAAGGAAGGAAGGGAAGAAGAGGTACAAGAGGAGCAGAGAGACAGTGGGGAGAAGATTGACTCAGTGATGCTTTTCAGTGTAATGAGTCTTTGGGACCCATGGGTGGTGATTTGAGTGGGTCCATGGGAAATTTAAAGGGTCCCCAATAAAATGTTTGTTTCTTGAGAATCTGTTGTGTTAAAAGAATTTTAATTAATAAATACAAGATATTCAGGTTTATTCAAAAAGTACCTGACATGACACTCAGAGTGGGAAACTTGTGTATTCATGAGTCACTACTGCGCTCCAGGTCATATAAACCAGAATCACTGTGTTTGGCTAAAGTGGCCAGTCAGTCCACAGTCCTCTTGCTGCCTTTGGCACAGTAGACCACAGAATCCTCCTCTCTACACTCTCCTCACTTGTTTTTTTTAGTGTTTGCCCTTGAGTGGTCCAAGTCCTACTTCACAGGGAAATCTTTTAGAGTATCATGGAGGGGGAAAGTGTCCAATATGCGTAGCTTATCAACAGGGGTGCCTCAAGGGTCAGTGCTTGGTCCCCTCCTTTTCTCAATATACACCTTATCACTTGGTAAAATCATCCAATACCACAGATTTTCCTATCACTGTTATGCAGATGATACACAGCTTTTCCTGTCCTTTCCACCTGATGATGCAACTGTCGCGGCTCAGATCTCATACTGCCTTGCTGATACCTCTCAATGAATGAGAGAACGTCACCTTCAGCCCAACCTGTCCAAGACTGAGCTTATTATCATCGCAGCCTGTCCCACAGTAGACCCACAGATCAATATCCAGTTTGGATCTCATAACCTCTTGTAAACCTTGATAATCTACAAACAGTGGTCATTTTATAGCTCCTTAAGCAGCTGCAAGCAAAAATAGAAAGTTGATACCAGAAGAGCATTCGAGCAATATTTGAAGTTTAAATCGTATTTGACAGCTCATTAGCCAACATCAGATACAGCTAGGTCCTAGCAAAAACAATGTATTTAAAAATCACAGATACAGAGAAATAAAGAAACATTTGCATAAGAAAAATGTTTTCCTTTCTCTCTGGTGGATTCTTGAAAAGTGCGTAAGTAGATATTAATGTCTTTTTTTATCATCATGTCGGCTCTTGTCAGATTGTGTACTCCTACAGATTGTGGACTCTTACATGTACCTGGATGCTCACCTAAACAATAAACTGGACTGGACTGATAACACAAACTCACTTTACAGGAAAGGCCAAAGTCGACTTCACCTACTGAGGAAACTGAGGTCCTTTGGTTTGCAGGGAGCTCTCCTGAGGTCCTTTCATTACTCTGTGGGGGCCTCAGCCATCTCCTATGGAGTGGTCTGCTGGAGCTTCAGCATCACAACTGCAGACAGGAACAGACTAAACAAACTGGTGAAGAAGACTTCTCTGTCCTGGGCTGAACTCTGGACCCTGTAGCTGAGTTATAGCACTGTAACAGCACAGCTCCTTCAGCGACAGGCTTCTTCATTTGCGCTGTGTGACAGAGAGATACCAAAAGTCCTTCCTTCCTGTTGCATACAGACTGTTTGACCAGGACAAAGGACAATAACTCTATGCTACTTTTCTGTGCAATATTGAAAGGCCAAGTATTTATTACAATGGCAAATACCTACTTTTTCTTAGGTATAATATGTGAAATAATATGCAAACACTGCAATCGTTCCCAGCGGGAGATGAAAAAAAGTTTATCTTATCTTTTCCTAACTTACAGTATCTCTCCAACAACGTGTCAGTGTGACTGGATGTCACTGTAACCCTGCTAACTGGAAACTCTTGCTCAGTAAAAGTAGATACTCTCTCCTCATTTTTACTTTACATTGTTTTTGGGGCTGTTTATGAGTTAGGGAGTGGTGAATAGACCACACTTTGTCAGATTATCAACGTTATATGACCTGGATCATAATAACAATGCATGACATGCTCATGTTTTTATTGAGGCTTTTCTTTGTAATGTGTTTTTTGATTGTGTATGTACAACACCTTGTGTTACAGTATGGTAGTATAAAAAGTGCTTCACAAATAAAGTCTGATTGATTGATAACAATATATAAGTTTCTCACCCTGAGTATGATGTAACAAATAGATGGCTGCCATGGGAACGAGGTCTACAGAGGCAGATGGTGATGTTTACACATTAATAAAACTTCCCTCTGTTATTAGCTAGCTCAGTCAGAGAGGCCGACAGAGTGACAGACTTATAGCTTTATCAATAGCATGAAAGACCCAGGCAATGAAGGAAACATTCAGGGTTGGAGGTGAAGATACCCCCCCCCCCCCCCATATAAACACACACACACACACACACACACACACACACACACACACACACACACACACACACACACACACACACACACACACACACACACACACACACACACACACACAACATGCCCATGGCTGCACCCCAAATGTATCGTTCTGCGTGGGAATGATGGGTCCCTGAGATGGGTTTACTGTGTCCGCTCAGACTCAGTGCAACAACATGGAAGACTAAAGGGTAAAAGATAGGAGGGAAGAATGGAAAGGAAATAGGGAGAGAAAGAAAATGAGAAGATAGAGAAGGAAAGAGTTGAGAATGGAGAAGTCAGGAGGAGAGGAGAGTGGCACACAAGAATTAGACAAAATATGAGACAGTTAAGATCCCTCAGCTGCCATAAGTGCACACACATACACATATGCACACACATACACACCAGAGCGCTGCTTCAAGCTATCATACACATCGCCTGGAGCACAATACAGCTCGTTAGTGGAAACACGCTCTCCCTCTCTCAGCCCCTCCATCTCTCAAGCAGTTGTCAATGTTATTATTTCCAAATGAATACACACAAATGCAGCACATTGTCTGACAGAATATGCTATAAATACCCTCTGTGTGCCGTATGACAAACACACAGAGGAGGAGGAGAAAGGGAGACGGCCGCACTGCACACACACTCCACTGTACTGTGTGTGCGATACAGTGTGTTTGGGGGAGGGAGAACAAGAACAACAATTAAAAATACAGCAGCAGGATGAGTGTGTGTGTGTTCATGTGAGACCTGAGAGGAGCGTGTTGAAATCACTGTTGCAGTGTGCAGCTTGTGGGCATACACTTAAATTATGGATTTCAGCTCACTGTCTTTGTCACACACACATACACACACTTTCCTCCGACAGAAGGCGGATGTAGGATCTCGTGGCTGTAAGATATAGACAGAGCGAGAATTTTTTTTTTTTTTTTATCACAGCCACTGTGATGTTAATTAAAATCAGACAGACGTTTGCAAAGAAATAAGTTGAGCTTATTTCCATTCTGTGTGAGGAAGGAAGAGAAAGTAGGCCACACTTAGGAGACGCGCCACCTTCATTGTCCTACAGAGAAGGAATGAGTGACAAGCTGAGCGAGGAGAGGAGAAGAGGGGACAGGAGAGGGGAGAAGAAGGAGGCAGCCTCCTCTTGTTTGCTATCCTCCTGACAGTGCACACAAACAGCACACCGCCATGTCACTGTGTCACACACCCGGGCTGTCACCTATCAGGCCTCCAAAGGGCAGTTGTGGGCCACACATTTGACTGACGGCGATGTTCAAGTGACGAATCTGTAGTTCCATAAGTGGCCACTAGAGACAGGCAGCAAAAGTGAGTCGATCACCGTTTGACACCGTTACAAAGATGCAACATTTACAACACAACTGTTTGATCTATGAGGCTAACTTATGATCTGCTGACAGCTGAATGAGGACATTTGACATTATCCTAACATTAAAGTCATATAAGGCTTTGTAATTATGCTCAATCTGACTGAGTATTATGTTTGCTTTTTTGTCAGTGTATGTATTAGATGTGCTCTGCCTGCTGGTGAGGTCACACTGTGATTGACTGTATGTCAGAGAGTGCAGGGATCTAGTTTCATGTGTTGGTTTAGGTTGTTCTAGTAGAGCTGCCATGTCACAAATAATGGATCCCAAATCTGACCACCAGAAATATTCATAATAATGACTGCATTTATGCCCAAAAGTCTCCATCACTCATCATAATCATCAGCACCAATTTATCTGAAGACAAAAGCCACAACTCTATTTCTGATGGTCTGGTTCCTCAGGAAGTGTCTGAGGTATTCTCAGATCCACCTTAAGTCGTGGGTGAGTCAGTAAAGGTCAGTACTATGGATTATGTCGTTTCATTATCTTGCATCTGTGCTGGAAGTAATTTTCATTATCAAATTAATTTCCAGAACAAGTGTTTATTTCTCACGCACAAAAAAAAAAAAAAAAAAAAAAAACTTAGCTGTGTCTTTGCACAATTTCCAATTTAAAAAGTATGAAGTCTGTCTTTATGCTCCTTATTTTATGTATTTCTTTAGGAAATCCCAGCTCTGTTTTGAATCTATCATCTATAACTTTTTTATTTTTAAACCAAGCTAAAAACAAATAATCGTACTTATTATTTCCTCAAGATATGCCATACTTTTGACAATTTGCAAAAGATGTATAAAGTATGAGTGTTGCACAATGAAGTTTTGGCTGAAGCCTCAAACTTTTGCAACTAAACTTTAAAAATGAAATGTTTTGTTTCCAGAGGTTATGTAGGTTTTATGATAAATGATGTGCTCAGAGTTTTTAGAGATTTCCACACTTTAAAAGTTCTTTGTAACAAACTGTAAACTGATAGGTTTAGAGTTATACTGCTTTACGGCCTTTTGTTTTATAGGTCAAACATACTCAAATGGAGCTTTCTTGGTTTTTTAATTTAACATCTGCTCAGAATTCTATAATAGCACGCTGTGTTTCCATTGGTATCACAAATGTCAGGGATTAAAGGCGGGAAGTGTGGGAGGAGGAAGTTCTGCTGAAGAAAATAATAAGTTGCAAACTAGCTAGTTTAATTTTTGCACCATGAACTTAGTTTAATATTCCCCACAGTTGCATTTCCCTCACTTTGAGAAGTCTTCCCTGCCAGATGAGAAGGTTGAGGGTGGAGATAAGTCTTAGGTAGTGGAATTTTAAGCTACAGTCTAATGTTGACAATGTGAAGAAAAAAATAGCAACGAAGATCTACACTATGATCACAGTTATTGCATTTATATCAATGCTACGTGCAGACATCTTTTCTGTTCTCGTTTTGAAAGTGTCATTCTCTGATGTCTAGTAGTCCTGTTGCATGTTGCTTCTCTGGGTTCACACCAGTTGCTCTATAATATTGTCTTCACTCCTGCCCACTCTCTTGGAGTAAACTCTCCCAATATTTCAAGCCAATAGTAACAGAGGCGGACACGCTTCTGTTAATGACTCAATTCTTGCCGGATGCTTATAAACTGGGACAAAGACAGTGGTTTAAGTTAAATTGCCTACATCGCCTGTTAATTTATCTACACTTTGTTCAGTAGAGTAAGTAACCCCACATTTTCAGAAAGAACTTTTGAATCTTCCACTGCCAATTAAAACAAGCAAAAGAAAACTTACTGGCTATAGTTGGCTAACATTTTTTGAAAGATTGTTATGCTTCCAGTTAATAAAATCATACTGTTTACCCACACTGTAAGAGTCTGTAGCTACTCTGACTAATAGAATCTCATACTAGCAGAAGCTTAAGTGCTAACTAGTATTGTGTCAATGCTGTTTATTTAGCTAACAAAAAGATAACATCTTTTTCTGCAGCAGAAAAATGCAGACGAAAAGCTGAAACGGCGTCCTCTGTTTTCAAATCACTGTGTTACAACAACTAGCTCTTTAACCAGCTAATGGAGACTAATTAGCCACCAGTGCAGTCTTAGCACCTTCGCGCCAGCTTCTTGCTCTTCTCCAGCTCCACCTTTTGATCCAAATAAGGTCACTTCTGGTTCAGTTTACAATCATGACAGTGGTTTGACTGCTTTGATTAAAACACCAGCTGACTAACTAGTGGCTGATGTCACAGTGGTTATGTACACAATTTACAATCTATTGTTCCTGCAGCTTCTCACCCTCATACTGAGCAGAGCTGTTTGAGTCACCTCATATGAGACCAGCTGACTGGGCCGATGGTTGTGAACTTGTGCTCAGCCCTGATGAAGCGCTGTGGTTTGAAAACACTAATAGAGCCGTGCGTTTAAACTGCATTAGGAGCCGTTGTCGTCCCTTGTGTTGGTCACACGAGCTCATTTGCATAAGCTGTCTTTGATTTAGCAACACACATGCTCCCACCTACAGCAAGCACGCATATACTGCACATGCAAACCCCCATCAACCCTGAGGGAAACACATACACACACACTCACACCTAATTTCCCAAAACCCACCCCTACGTGCCTGCTGAGATGCAAGGATTTAAGGGAATTTGCCTGCCAAAGGGAGCCGCGCTGGATTTCATCATTCAAATATGTTATTCCTGTGCCTAAGGACACTTTGCTCTGTATTAGTGAGCGTTCACTACCCGTTTCCATTGCCAGGAACTAGATGGAAAAGTTTTCCGCTCCTGTGGGTCTGTGGATTCACACTGGTGTATGAAATAAAGAGGAAAAGGTCACTCTGGCAATATAAGAGAGGATTTCTCTGCAGATAACTGTGTATTTTCTGCTTCACAAGTGATAGATGATGTCAGTCTTTCTCAGACGAATATATATTCTATTATTCAGCCAACCTCCTTTCTCCTGTGCTTTATCAAGGAAGCAGCTCCAGGAGGTACACTGGCTTCTATTCTGTGTAGTTTAGGGGTTTGGCAGAGAGCAATTTATCTCAACACAATTTTATTATCACGAAAAATGAACGAAATATCAAAACTAATATTACTTTGCCTGTTTGAATCTGAATAGGTGAGGTCGTTTAAGTGGGTTTTAAGGTTAGAGGCAGGGTTGATACATGGAGTGAACACTTGAACATTAATTGAATGTACCATTGACATGCTTCAGTACACTCTTTTACTCTCTACAAGCTCTACTACAGTATCTCCAACATATTCATACAGAAGCTTGATATTTCACACACAAATATTCTTGACTAAATGTAATCTAATTGTAAGAGGTACTATGATCAAACTTCAAACAGTGTTAAATAGACAGAGAAAGAGTCTAAGAGCTGATACTGTACTTTGGGAACTACTAGCAGCTCATTTGTAATGGAGCTGAATGAAAAGTTTGATATCATAGTCATATTTTGGCAATAAAGACAGTTGAAGGAGTTTTTAACTGGTTGAGAAACAGCCTGAAACTGATACTGAAGCCCTCTTATGACCATCAAAAGTAAATAAGACTACCATATGTATTTCCCTGTGGTAATTTTTGATGCTTGAATTGGTTTTGCAGTCCAAGTCTGGATCTC